GAATGCGTCCGGATCTGGCTTTTTTGTTGAGCTCTAGGGGATCTGCCCATCACCTTTAGAATTGACAGTGTGCGGCTTCATTCCCTTGTTTCCCCTTCTATCACGGCTATCCTTTTTATCTCTCATGCTATCAGTCCCCCTACCACTATGGGCCTTACGTTTGTCCGATATGTTTACTGGTTTGTTAAACTCCATGCTTAGGCAAATACTCAATTGACCACTTCCATGAGTAAATCTATGCATTTCCAAGATGTTCATGACTTTCTTTATCCGTATTCCTTCGTGCACCAACCCCTCAAATTTTGCAGCTGTTTCCCTAGTATGACTGCTCTTACTAAAATAGTCTTACTTTTTGATTAAGGGTTTTAATCACCTTCAAAATCATATGAATAAGCTTTACGTCTTTAGTGAATTCCACTTAATCTTGCTTTTCAAAAGGTATTCTTATTTAGGGTGGACTGCCGTTTCGACCTCGTCTAGGTCTTTACAACACCAACGGGAATCGAACCCGGTTAGCTTAGTGTCCCGACACTACCATCACGCTACGCTGCCACTGTTGTCTATGGGTTAAAGGGAAAATGTGAAGTTTAAGGAAGGCCGGGCCCCATATCACATTTGTTTAAAATATATACTTGATCCAGGTATTTTATTTTTGTTGTTCTTGCTGATTTCCCTTAATGGTGATAGTCAACAAGAACTATGAGGCAATGCAAGCTGGCGGAATATCTGTGCTTTAAGCTAAAACTAGCTAGAGACAAATTATCAATTATCACGAAAGCTTCACGTGAGTTTTCTCAAAGGTTCACAAACATAGGACTTAAAGCGATACGCTTATTTGTAAGCTTTGATGTATGAACAAGAATATTAGAGGAGCAAGGGCGCTCACGACATTGCTGGTGATTTTGTAACGAAAAGAGGACATTCTAGAAGTGGAGAGGATCCGGAGGTTTCCATAATATCTGACCAACCTCCTCCACATTTGAGACTGCTCTTCAGTACTTCCACTTTTTTTGGCGGAAGTCTGCGGACGCAAATTTTAGTTCGACATTATGACGTCACAGCTGGAACACAAAAATGCTTATGCCACTTCAAATTGATGAAAAAGTCAATTTCTTAATATGAGTGAAGGTCGACTAGTGACTGGAATTCATAGATATTGAAGTAATTCGTTATAACAGGACATCCAGGAGGGGATTATTCAGCAAGAAATTGCCTCAGGAATAATTCTCAATTTCATATTTTATAACATCTGGAATGAGGAGTAGGATTATAAAAAAGGTTAAAAATAAAGGATATGACCTCATTAATTGAGATGTCTTCCGGCAACCTACATCTAATGGAAATCCCGTGATACAAACAAAAAATTAGGGTGGTGATTTATATCCTCATCTTATAAATAGGGTTTGGAAGAAACAACAATTATCGGAAGATTTGCTTATTGCTTTGGGGGAAAGATCAGGATTGGCAAAATGTTGACGCTTGAATCAAGTCCGCCCCATAACTAACTTTCAGTTCAACTGTTGTTGAATCTTCCCTCTCTTTCTTTATACATTAACCTATTCTCTCTCTCTCTCTCTCCATATATATATATATGCTAATGCATGAAGAGAGCAAGGCTATCAACCGTTGAACTAAAAGTTGGTCATGGGGCGGACTTCACTTGTCTATTTTGGTATTTATAGCTTTGTTCTAGGAGTGGCCAGGCTCCATGACAATGCCGTCGAAAGGTCTTTAAATGCAATCAGTCAACCATTTGATATCGAAAGAATTCATGATAACAGGGTTCGTCCGCCGAATTTTCTATGACGACGTTCAAACTTCATTTCCATTAATAATGGTTTGCACACGGTATGGCTGCAATTTTATCTTTTTTTCTAGAAGCTCTGCTTGCTCGCTCTCCTCTTTAACTAACGGCCTATCGACCGAAGCCAATATGATCTGAATTTACTTGATTAATTATCAAATTTTTACCGATTGATAAAATTTCTGATCAGACTAGCATTACCTGCTGAGCTTATTATCATGGTGGTATAATTAGACCTTCATATTTTTTATTATGAGTTTTTCCGAGCTTAAAAATAATTGAAGAAAAAAAGAGCAACATTATATGTTTATTTAAGTAAGTTTGCTTCGTGTGAACTTTTACCGTGATAATCGTTTCCACAATGCGGAATAGGCGATGGCTGGAAAATATTTGTATTAGCGGAAAATCCATTTTATAGAGGCTCGTATTTACTTAATTATATGATTCTTGTTTTCTTTCAGCTTCTCGTCTTATTATTTTCTTATGTTTTCCATTTTCTGTCACCGACGATCAGCCATGCCCTTCGTCTCTCCCGACAACTTGGCGATACTTCCTTACAGGCTCAAGCCTACTACAGCCTGGGCAACACGAGTAGTTTGGTTCGTGACTACCCTGCGGCTGTGGCATATCATTTACGCCACTTGGCAATGGCTCGCCGACTTGGCGACCGTCTGGGAGAGGCCAGAGCCCACTGGAGCTTGGCCAATGCATATGCGGGGTTAGGAGACCTTGACAGAAGCCTGCGCTGTGCCCGCCGATATCGGCAGATTACAATTAAAGTATGCTTCCTTATTTATTTTACTGTTAAAGGGACCTTATTCTTGACTCAATTTTATTTGATTTTGAGTATTAGACAAACGATAGGAGAATCTACATAATGTGGAATAAGAGTTAATTAGACAGCAATTAGACATAAAGAACTAGATAACAGAATAAAAATGAAAAGCTAGGTTAAAATATATAGGAGACCTACTTAAATCTCATTATATCATTTATTAATTTCCATTTAGGAGTTATAAGGATAGATCAAGAGTCCCGAATTCTTTCTAAATTTTGTAGAC